GGGGGGGGGGGTATCATTTCATTAGGGAACATTTTGCTGGAGTAACCTGCCAGAGTTCCGCCTGGTCCCCTGAAGGAATACTTTGTTAAAGGGAAAAGGGCAGACTTACTTAGCTTTCCAGGGCCCTTTGCTACTGTCTTTACAAAAGCCTATCGGTGAGTAGCCCTGGGCTGTGTAAAACTTGCTTATGGGTCGGGCAGCAATGGGTTTAACGTCAGGGGGCGTGTTTAGTGCTTTAGGTTAAGCCTTGTCCTGAGCGGGGTTGTCAGTTGCGTTCGCTGGTCGGCCTGAGGGGTCTCAGCTCAGGTGACGCCCACGAACTTGTACCTCCTTAAAGCCCCCGACTTGAATCACGTATCCCCTCAGGGGAAGCTCAGTGGTGGTCCTCTAATTATGTTACCCCCGTACTTAAGAGGCGCCGCGTGCCTTCTAACGAGAAGGACGCCTCCTCCTGCACCGCGGCGCTCCTGGAGGGCAGGACACAGGACTGATTTTCCCCTTGGTCGGTTTTCGGAGTGAGGAGCCGAAGCCCTAGCCACCTTCAGTGATGCCTAAGGAGCTGTGTTGCTTCCCGACCTTGTGTCTTTGGGAGTCACTGCACACTCATTGCTTTTATAGGTTCACTGTGTCCAGTCAAATACAGCGCCTCATCCGCAGAGCCCAGCCGTCCTGCGTGTGAGCAGAGCACACCCCTCACACAGCTCTGTGTTCTTTGGGTCCAATCCTATAAGCCTTTGAACTGTGTTGCTTTTAGAAGGAACGGGATCCCCCAAGCCCATTTTGAATATTTACTTCTCCAGAGGTGGGATCAACAATTTCCCCAAGCAATCTCGAGTTCTTCTAGTGGGAGTGGTGTCCAGAGGCCACAAACTGAGTAGCAGGGGCCGTGCCAGGTCTGGAGAAGCTTAAAGGCTTTGAGGACATTGTGCCATCCCAATGCGGGTGGGGACACAAAACCTGTGCAGGCATTTCCCAAAGATTGTCAACGTGGCACCAACAACAAGTGGTCAAAGGAGAGAAGAGGCCACAGGCCGTGGGGCTGCAGTGGACAGCACCCAAGGACTGAGACTTGGGGCCTGGAGAAATAACATGAGAGGAGGAGAGACTCATTTCAGGGTCAGCAGAGGACCCCCTACTCCCTGAGCTGATTTTTTTTTTTTTTAATATATCTTTATTGATTTCAGAGAGAGGAAGGGAGAGGGAGAGATGAAAACAGAAACATCAATGATGAGAGAGTCATGGATCGGCTGCCTCCTGCATGCTCCTGGCTGGGGATGGAGCCTGCAACCCGGGCATGTGCCCTCATCGGGAATGAAACTGCAATCTCCTGGATCCCGGGTCAATGTCAACCGCTGAGCGACTCCCGGCCTGGCCCTGAGCTGATTTTTAAAAGAAGAAATGTCAAGATGCTTTGCTCATTGGGATATACTAGAAGGAGGTCGAGCGCAGGTTTAGAGAAACAGGTTCTTGCCTCAATGCCTTCTGTTGTGAGGGTTTCATCTGAAAGAAATGGACTGGTTATTTCATGTGAGTGCTTATTAAAAGCAGATATCTGGCTGTTCCTTAGCAGTTGCATGTGTTACTGGGGTACCCCAGATTTCTGTCCGCGTCCAGGGATTGGGCCTGTAGAGCAACTGGTACATATTATACATCTAATGACAGCCTTGGACTGTTTTGAGTCCTGGGGTCCCCTGAGCTTGCAATTCTATGTCATGATAATGTTAGTTGTCACCGGACCCCAAGGCCCCGATTCAGAGACGTCCATGTAGATGCCAGATACGTCCCTACACGATACAATAATGCTGAGAAGAGGAAGCGTGAGGGTTTGGAGAGAGAAATGTCTTGTGGGTTGGCAGAGCGTGATCCAATCGACCTCCTCGACCAGATGTACCAGAGGAAAACAGTAGCTGCCCACGTCAGTCTGGCAGATACTTGGAGTCTAGTCTTGGAAGCTGCAGCCACACAGAAAGGACACTCTGGTGTCATCGTCTGTCTGTAAGGATGAGGCTCAGTTTACACACACCAGGGCCATGGGGCGTAGTGAAAGCCCGTTTGTCAAACAACTGAGTTTCCCGGAGGGAAGAGCCCCTTAGGGGGTCTGCCCCAGGCCCACTCACCCCCGTGCTCGCTCTGCCCTGCGCTGCCCTTGGGTCCTAATTCCTGTGCCAGCTTCACGGTAACACGTGGCCACAGCGTTCCACATCACTCCCCCTTAAACTTCCTCATACTGTGGCACCTGGTGTATAGTAATTTAGACAAAAATTTTACAAAAGAAAAGTTGTCCTTACTAAGTAGATATTTTCGTTTAACATATGACATGGTTTTGTGTCTGAGAAAGGGCAAGTGGCAGCGGGTGAAGCTGGCTTCAGTGTGCTGGTCACCAGCTGCCCCGTGGAGCTGCTGTCTTGCCCTCTGTGCGTGCCCTGACTGAGCCTGTCTCCCGCAGACGCTGCGATGTACAACACCTCCGGGGCCTTGCCGACCTCGCCTGTGGCACCCACCACCTACGGTACGTGAGACTGGCTCCTGAAAATGAGGTGGAAGGGAGCACCTGGAGGGGAAGGGAGGGTGGCCTGTGCACCTGGCTGGCTGTGTCGGAGGCTGTGCCAGGCGGCTTTGCATGAGCCCTGGGAAGGCAGACGGCCGCCTCCACAGTGAGCGCCCAGACCCTCCGGCCTTCCCGCTGGCTCATGTGATTCTGCAGCGGAGGCCGCGTCCAGAGTTGCTGCAATTGCTTCCTGAGAGTTTGGGAAGCGAGGAGCAGAAGCAGGGGAAGGGGCATTTCTATCTGAGACCCACAGTGGGGCTCTCCATGGATGGGGGGACTCTGAGAAACAGAATGCCAGTCTCCCTCAGAAATAAATACGCAAAATGTGTCCGTTGCTTCGACACTCATTGGCCACAGGAGCCAGCCTTGTGGGAAATGTGTGATCCCGACTGTCACGCCTCAGAGTGCAGAGTGAGACTCTGAACCGGGTTCTCGTGAGGTGTGACTCGTAGACCCCAGCCCTGGTGACAAAGGAACAACGTTTTGGGATGAATGGGAAACCTGTCCATGATCCAGTCTGATTCAGGGGGAGGAGGAGGCCCCTGTCCCCGGAGGGAGGTCTGCAGGACACAGGAGCTGAGTACCAAGGCCAAGAATGAGCAGAAGTGTGAGGGTGGCACCTGGATGAATTATCCTGAAGGACCGGGTCCCGCCTCCCCGTGCCTGGTCGAGCCCCTGCTCTCCCTGTGCCATGAGATGACAGCACCCTCCGTCTCTCTTCCGGTCCCAGATCCAATGCTGAAGGTAGACGACAGCAACACCCGGATCCTGATCGGCTGCCTGGTGGCCATCATCTTCATCCTCCTGGCTGTCATTGTCACCATCCTCTGGAGGCAGTTCTGGCAGAAAATGCTGGAGAAGGTGAGGATGTGCCCAGGCCGCTGCTACCCCAGGAGCCAAGGGCAAACTGTGAGAGTTTGTGACCTGCTAGGTGCTGGCCGGGGCCACCAGGAAGCCTAGCATGGACAGGCTTGCAGCCAAAGGGGTCAGGAAAGAGTAGGCCAAGCCCACTTCTCATTTTCAGAATGGCGACTTTGGACCCTCCCCCAAAACTCCTTCAGTAGTTGAATCTCAACTGAGGCAGCACCCTGGAAATGCTGATTCCCTGGGTGGGGAGAGGGTTGTAGACATGTGCATTGTTAAAATCCTCACCTGAGGATATGTTTTATTGACTTGAGAGAGAGAGGAAGGTGAAGAGAGGGAGATGTGAGAGAGGAACATTGATCAATTGCCTCCTGAACATGCCCTGACCAAGGATCAGACCTAGGTTTGTGCCCTGACTGGGAATCGAACCTGCCACCTTTTGGTGCACGGGGCGATGCTCCAGCCAATGGAGCGTACAACTCATGCTGGGTGGATGCTCTCGGAGAACCGGTGCCCACGTGGAGGAGACCAGAAGAGGGAACAGGGCACTGTGGGGATGGACTGGAATCTCCAGAGCTCCAGCTGTCAGAGGGAAGTGCTCAGTTCCTTCTGATCTGCTCCACAGTCAGTTTCTGAGATGATTTTAAGGTTTTTCAGGCAGCAGTATTTCACAGAAGAGCGGATATACTTGCTTTCCTCTAGGACCTCTATCATCAGCCTACAAACACTTTACCTAAATTAAAGCTTTCCATTCACACAGTGACTGGAGATTAAAGGGAAGTGCCTTCAGCGAGCTCACCCGTCAGTGTGATGCTGGGACACGGGGCATCTGAAGTCCAGGGAAAGGGCAGCAAAGGGAGGTGGTGGCATTGGTGTGGGTGGACTGAGGTTCACTGGGCAGCTCGAAGCTGATTAGTCTGCTGGACTGGGGGGGAAGGGTCTGTGTTCCCTACTCCAGAGCCATTCTCTCTTTATTTGAACCACACTTGACCACACTTCCATGGCTCTTTCTTCTGAAACCACTGGGGTGTATTCCTGGGCAGGGAGAGGAATGCTGAATTGGAGACTCCCCAGGTACAAAGGAGAGAAAATTTTGCCCTTGACTATTTAACTTGGTCCTTCAAAAAATTCTTTCTACCCTGTATATCTGAGCAAGATAACTCAAGAGGCTCTAGGGTGACACATGGTTTCTCCCTGTGGAAGGAATTCTTTGTGGAGACATTTAAGCGTATACCTCTATTCCCCGAAACGCCACCTAATATAGCTGCAGACTGTAGATGTTTGTAGGCTACTTTTTTTTTACTTTGAAAAATATTTTAAATTTACAGAAAAGTTAGACTACTATAATGAACTTTCACCGAGGTTTACTAACAAAATATTAATATTTTTGCCACATTTGCTTTATCTCTTTGTCTTTCATATAAACAAATGTTTCTGAGCCATTTGAGTTGCAGATATGACATGTTTTACCCTTAATATTTCATGTGTGTCCACCCTTTAAGAGCAGGGTCATATTTGTTATGTGATGATAAGACCAAAACTCAATATCTGACATAAAAATATGTTAAATTCATTGTTTACCATAGAAGAGTTTTTTTTAAAAAAATAGTTTAACAGTTTCTTTTTTTGTTTAATTTATTTTATTGTTGAGAATATTACAGATGTCCCCCATTTCCCCCCCTTTGCCCCT